TCCGCTGCTTCTACTTCTGCTGCTTCTTCTTCCTCTTTTATCCGCTGCTTCTTCTACTTCTTCTGCTGCTTCTTCCTCTTATCTTCTCCTTTTGCTACTTCTTCTGCTGCTTCTTCCTCTTTTATCCGCTGCTTCTGCTACTCCTTCTGCTGCTTCTTCCTCTTATCTGCTACTTTTGCTACTTCTTCTGCTGCTTCTTCCTCTTTTATCTGCTGCTTCTGCTACTTCTTATGCTGCTTCTTTTTCCTCTTTTAACTGCTTCTTCTTCCTCTTTTATCTGCTTCTTCTACTTCTGCTGCTTCTTCTTCCTCTTTTATCTGCTTCTTCTACTTCTGCTGCTTCTTCTTCCTCTTTTATCTGCTGCTTCTGCTACTTCTGCAGCTTCTTCTTCCTCTTTTATCTGCTTCTTCTACTTTTGCTGCTTCTTCTTCCTCTTTTATCTGCTTCTACTTCTGCTGCTTCTTCTTCCTCTTTTATCTGCTGCTTCTGCTACTTCTGCAGCTTCTTCTTCCTGTTTTATCTGCTTCTTCTACTTCTGCTGCTTCTTCTTCCTCTTTTATCCGCTGCTTCTTCTACTTCTTCTGCTGCTTCTTTTTCCTCTTTTAACTGCTGCTTCTTCTACTTCATCTGCTGCTTCTTCTTTCTCTTTTATCTGCTGCTTCTTCTACTACTTCTGCTGCTTCTTCTTCCTCTTTTATCTGCTGCTTCTTCTACTTCATCTGCTGCTTCTTCTTCCTCTTTTATCTGCTGCTTCTTCTACTACTTCTGCTGCTTCTTCTTCCTCTTTTATCTGCTGCTTCTTCTACTACTTCTGCTGCTTCTTCTTCCTCTTTTATCTGCTGCTTCTTCTACTACTTCTGCTGCTTCTTCTTCCTCTTTTATCTGCTGCTTCTTCTACTTCATCTGCTGCTTCTTCTTCCTCTTTTATCTGCTGCTTCTTCTACTTCATCTGCTGCTCCTTTTTCCTCTTTTATCTGCTGCTTCTTCTACTACTTCTGCTGCTTCTTCTTCCTCTTTTATCTGCTGCTTCTTCTACTTCATCTGCTGCTCCTTTTTCCTCTTTTAACTGCTGCTTCTTCTACTACTTCTGCTGCTTCTTCTACTTCATCTGCTGCTTCTTCTTTCTCTTTTATCTGCTGCTTCTTCTACTACTTCTGCTGCTTCTTTTTCCTCTTTTAACTGCTGCTTCTTCTAATTCAATTGCTGCTTCTTCTTTCTCTTTTATCTGCTGCTTCTTCTACTACTTCTGCTGCTTCTTCTTCCTCTTTTATCTGCTGCTTCTTCTACTTCATCTTCTGCTTCTTCTTCCTCTTTTATCTGCTGCTTCTTCTACTACTTCTGCTGCTTCTTCTTCCTCTTTTATCTGCTGCTTCTTCTACTTCATCTGCTGCTCCTTTTTCCTCTTTTAACTGCTGCTTCTGCTACTTCGTATGCTACTTCTTCCTTTTTTATCTGCTGCTTCTACTTCTGCTGCTTCTTCTTCCTCTTATCTGCGGCTTCTTCTACTTCTTTGGTTGCTTCTTTTTCCTCTTTTAACTGCTGCATCTTCTACTACTTCTGCTGCTTCTTCTTCCTCTTTTATCTGCTGCTTCTACTTCTGCTGCTTCTTCTTCCTCTTTTATCTGCTGCTTCTACTTCTGCTGCTTCTTCTTCCTCTTTTATCTGCTGCTTCTTCTACTACTTCTGTTGCTTCTTCTTCCCCTTTTAACTGCTGCTTCTGCTTCTTTGTATGCTGCTTCTTCTTCCTTTTATCTGCTGCTTCTACTTCTGCTGCTTCTTCTTCCTCTTATCTGCTGCTTCTTCTACTACTTCTGCTGCTTCTTCTTCCTCTTATCTGCTGCTTCTTCTACTACTTCTGCTGCTTCTTTTTCCTCTTTTATCTGCTGCTTCTTCTTCCTCTTATCTGCTGCTTCTACTTCTGCTGCTTCTTCTTCCTCTTTTAACTGCTGCTTCTGCTACTTCATATGCTGCTTCTTCCTCTTTTATCTGCTGCTTCTACTGCTGCTGCTTCTTCTTCCTCTTTTATCTGCTGCTTCTACTTCTGCTGCTTCTTCTTCCTCTTTTATCTGCTGCTTCTTCTTCTGCTGCTTCTTTTTCCTCTTTTATCTGCTGCTTCTGCTACTTCTTCTGCTGCTTCTTCCTCTTTTATCTGCTGCTTCTGCTTCTTTTTCTGCTGCTTCTTCTTCCTCTTATCTGCTGCTTCTTCTACTACTTCTGCTGCTTCTTCTTCCTCTTTTAACTGCTGCTTCTGCTACTTCTTCTGCTGCTTCTTCCTCTTTTATCTGCTGCTTCTGCTTCTTTTTCTGCTGCTTCTTCTTCCTCTTATCTGCTGCTTCTTCTACTTCTTCTGTTGCTTCTTTTTCCTCTTTTATCTGCTGCTTCTACTTCTGCTGCTTCTTCTACTACTTCTGCTGCTTCTTCTTCCTCTTTTATCTGCTGCTTCTACTTCTGCTGCTTCTACTTCTTCTGTTGCTTCTTTTTCCTCTTTTAACTGCTGCTTCTTCTACTACTTCTGCTGCTTCTTCTTCCTCTTTTATCTGCTGCTTCTACTTCTGCTGCTTCTTCTTCCTCTTTTATCTGCTGCTTCTACTTCTGCTGCTTCTTCTTCCTCTTTTATCTGCTGCTTCTTCTTCTGCTGCTTCTTTTTCCTCTTTTATCTGCTGCTTCTTCTACTTCATCTGCTGCTTCTTCTTCCTCTTTTATCTGCTGCTTCTTCTACTTCATCTGCTGCTCCTTTTTCCTCTTTTAACTGCTGCTTCTGCTACTTCGTATGCTGGTTCTTCCTTTTTTATCTGCTGCTTCTACTTCTGCTGCTTCTTCTTCCTCTTATCTGCGGCTTCTTCTACTTCTTTGGTTGCTTCTTTTTCCTCTTTTAACTGCTGCTTCTTCTACTTCATCTTCTGCTTCTTTTTCCTCTTTTAACTGCTGCTTCTTCTACTTCATCTGCTGCTTCTTCTTTCTCTTTTATCTGCTGCTTCTTCTACTACTTCGGCTTCTTCTTCTTCCTCTTTTATCTGCTGCTTCTTCTACTTCATCTTCTGCTTCTTCTTCCTCTTTTATCTGCTGCTTCTTCTACTACTTCTGCTGCTTCTTCTACTTCTGCTGCTTCTTCTTTCTCTTTTATCTGCTGCTTCTTCTACTACTTCTGTTGCTTCTTTTTCCTCTTTTAACTGCTGCTTCTTCTAATTCATCTGCTGCTTCTTCTTTCTCTTTTATCTGCTGCTTCTTCTACTACTTCTGCTGCTTCTTCTTCCTCTTTTATCTGCTGCTTCTTCTACTTCATCTTCTGCTTCTTCTTCCTCTTTTATCTGCTGCTTCTTCTACTACTTCTGCTGCTTCTTCTTCCTCTTTTATCTGCTGCTTCTTCTACTTCATCTGCTGCTCCTTTTTCCTCTTTTAACTGCTGCTTCTGCTACTTCGTATGCTACTTCTTCCTTTTTTATCTGCTGCTTCTACTTCTGCTGCTTCTTCTTCCTCTTATCTGCGGCTTCTTCTACTTCTTTGGTTGCTTCTTTTTCCTCTTTTAACTGCTGCTTCTTCTACTACTTCTGCTGCTTCTTCTTCCTCTTTTATCTGCTGCTTCTACTTCTGCTGCTTCTTCTTCCTCTTTTATCTGCTGCTTCTACTTCTGCTGCTTCTTCTTCCTCTTTTATCTGCTGCTTCTTCTACTACTTCTGTTGCTTCTTCTTCCCCTTTTAACTGCTGCTTCTGCTTCTTTGTATGCTGCTTCTTCTTCCTTTTATCTGCTGCTTCTACTTCTGCTGCTTCTTCTTCCTCTTATCTGCTGCTTCTTCTACTACTTCTGCTGCTTCTTCTTCCTCTTATCTGCTGCTTCTTCTACTACTTCTGCTGCTTCTTTTTCCTCTTTTATCTGCTGCTTCTTCTTCCTCTTATCTGCTGCTTCTACTTCTGCTGCTTCTTCTTCCTCTTTTAACTGCTGCTTCTGCTACTTCATATGCTGCTTCTTCCTCTTTTATCTGCTGCTTCTACTGCTGCTGCTTCTTCTTCCTCTTTTATCTGCTGCTTCTACTTCTGCTGCTTCTTCTTCCTCTTTTATCTGCTGCTTCTTCTTCTGCTGCTTCTTTTTCCTCTTTTATCTGCTGCTTCTTCTACTACTTCTGCTGCTTCTTCTTCCTCTTTTAACTGCTGCTTCTGCTACTTTTTCTGCTGCTTCTTCCTCTTTTATCTGCTGCTTCTGCTTCTTTTTCTGCTGCTTCTTCTTCCTCTTATCTGCTGCTTCTTCTACTTCTTCTGTTGCTTCTTTTTCCTCTTTTAACTGCTGCTTCTTCTACTACTTCTGCTGCTTCTTCTTCCTCTTTTATCTGCTGCTTCTACTTCTGCTGCTTCTTCTTCCTCTTTTATCTGCTGCTTCTACTTCTGCTGCTTCTTCTTCCTCTTTTATCTGCTGCTTCTTCTTCTGCTGCTTCTTTTTCCTCTTTTATCTGCTGCTTCTTCTACTACTTCTGTTGCTTCTTCTTCCTCTTTTAACTGCTGCTTCTGCTACTTCGTATGCTGCTTCTTCCTCTTTTATCTGCTGCTTCTACTTCTGCTGCTTCTGCTACTTCTTCTGCTGCTTCTTCCTCACCTACTTCTGCTGCCTGTTCTTCTGTTCTTTTTCTTTATTAGCTTCTTCTTGTTGTTGTTTTTGTTGTTGTTGTTGTTGTTCTTCTTCTTCTTCTTCTTCTTCTTCTTCTTCTTCTTCTTCTTCTTCTTCTTCTTCTTCTTCTCCGCCAGCTGAGAAAAAAGCTCCTCAAGTTTTGGTCTCATATAATGCTGTAAAATATGTTTTTAAAAGAGGCAATTCCAATAACCTTTTTACAGAAAGTCCATTTTCAATTTAGCTTGGACATGTGACTTCTTCAGTTACTCACATCCACTGAACCACCTGTTGATGTACAGAATGAGAATTCATGAAGTAAAATGTGCAGTAGAGTCAACATCTCACTAGGTCATTAATGTAACCCTTTATCTTGTTTTTGCACATGGTTACCCAACACAAGCAATGAAGAATCTGACCTTCCAAATCACACCGGACTCCAACAAGGACAGCGAGACCATCCAAATGGGTCGTGACCTCAAGCTGTCGTGTCACGTTGACGCCACCCCACAAGACAAAGTCAACTACACCTGGTACAAGAACGGTGCACCGGTGTTCAACACAGACAGCTTGATATTATTGCGCAGTGACCCAGACATGGCACCGGGGACCAGTAGCTTAGAGATTGTGGACATGAAGTTCAGAGACTTGGCAGCCTACAGCTGTGTGGCAAACTTCCCAGGCAGCAGGGTACCAGAACTTCGTGTGGACATCAACATCTCTCAGAATGGTGGTAAGATTCTTCATTTTCTTGTGTTATTATACAACAGAAATGTACAGGTTGGTAAACAAGTGGGAAGCTTGAAAATCTACTTCAGTGTGAAGACAGTCATGGAGGGATGGGGTCATAATAAAGGCATGCGGCCAGCTTGGCTATCATGCTTCTTAGTGACCAAATCACGTTGATCCACATTTTATGGCTACTCTCTTACCGCTGTCACTTCTCTCCCCCACAACCCACTTAGGACCTGATTGTGCAGCCACCAAGATTAATATTATAAACATGTGAACATACCTGCTATGGAAGTTATGGATTTGCACAAGCCCATTTATCATTAAACCTAATCTTTCTATGTATGGCCTTGAAGACCTCCATAAAGCCTTGCAAAGATCACTTTGTGGCTAATTCTTCAACTTTATTTGAGTTTATAAATTAATTGTATTTTATTGTAATGGTAATTTATTCTTTTTTTATTCTCATTTCTTTCCTCTAGTTTATCCTCCGGTGTTGTCAGTCCCACCAAGAGGTCAGACTGTGAATGTGCGCGAGGGAGGGATAGCCGATCTTGTATGCTTGGTAGTCGACGGCAAACCCCGTCCTCCAGTTCTGTGGTCACGAACAGAGAAGGACCTGCTAATGCCTTCAGGGAAGACTGTGGAGGAGACACCTGATGGCCGCTTGAGTCTAAGGAACGTTAGCAGGGACATGATGGGGTTGTATCGTTGTCAGACAGCTCCATACAACGGGCTTAACATCAAGCGCAGAGAGGCGCTGGTTCAACTGAACGTTCAATGTAAGTATGAGTCTGAGAAGAAAAATAATGATGATGTCACAACTATTGAGCACTCAGAGGGGCAGATCTATCTGTGTTGGATATAAATAGTTCCAGCTTGGTAGAAGGAAGAAGTACAATGAACATAAAATGAAAACTAATATTTTAAAACAAATTAGGATGTCAAAAATAAACTGCTAAGGGGAAAAAAACAGCAACAAGGCACTTAAATGGTCTGAAAAGAAAGTCAGAACATAGGGTTTATTTTATTCTTTTTTTTAACCAATATTCATGCAGCGGTTCCTCCTCAAACTCTCAACAAATGTTAGCTTTCTTTTCTATTTAATCTTTTTTTTTCTTTTTATTGTGTGGGTTGATGGGGCACTGATGTAGTCAGTGTTTACTTATTTATTTATTGTAAAGTCTGTTTAGGGTATTCACATGTTTAAAAAATACAAGGTCTGTAATTTGCTTTCCTCCCTTCTAATTTAATCTTCTGAATCTCAATTTACTTTCGAGACACTCCCATCGAGTCATCTAATTAAAGTGGAAATCAATTTTTAAATGTTACAATTATTAAAACATCTCTAATAATTGCAATTTTGCAAGAAAAATACTTGTTTGAACAGGATTGTTTCAGAGCAGGCTTGAGATGAAATTAGAGATTTATTGGTACATTCTACTTTGAGGTACCTTTGTCTCTTTTTGACACAATATTCAGCTTGCACAGAGGCAAAAGTGAAATGTAGCCCTTGCCCATGCACCTGCACCTGTCCTACTCTTTGAAGTCAAAATCTCTGCCTTGGAATTGGCCTTTGGCTCCATGAGTGAGAGTGGGTGGGCAGGTGAATAATGGAAACGCTAAAGCAGTCTGCAGACATGTGCAGGAAAAGTCCTGATTTCTTGTTGCAATAGGAGAGTGGCTGGTGTGCAGAAGGTAAATGTGCCAGAATCTGAAGCCATGGGGAGACACTTGTTACAGAAAAAAAGAGACGATATGGAAAGATGTAAGAAACTGTTGAACTGGCCTGAGAGCACTGGGATACTGTGGATGACTTTAGAGCAACAAACTGGCCTGCTTCAAAAAGGAAAGATCAGGGAACAAATGAAGTCTCAGCTTCCATCTGGTGGTTAAGTTGATGTTGCTAGAGGAAAGATATAATTTAAACATTTTATAAAAATGATAAAATGAACTGCTTTTTATAAAAACAGTCAAATGCTGGTGTTTTGAGTCAATAAACAAAAAGATAGGTCAGATAATTCTGTTTCCTGTTTCCTTTCCCATTCGGTTTTCCTGGATTAATATAAAGAATTTGGGCTTCTGGGTATGACATGGCACACCTTTATCAGGTTATTTCATTGTCAAAATTGAGATTGTTAGTTTTATAGGGCATGATAATCTTAAAGGTTTACTTGGAAACAGCGACTCAGAGAGGTGAACAGAGGGATGGTCCAGGCACTCATGTGACCTCATCAGAACTGTACCCCCCCCCCCAAGTATGTTTGTTTTACACTGAGCAGGAGATGCTCTGTATCTCACTTTACACCTGTATAGTGACAATAAAGGCATTCTATTCTATTAGTAATAACAATGGCCTCACCAGTGACCCCTATTGCTCTACCCACAGGCACATAGACCCTTTTACTACCTACGTCATCAAAAGTTGCACGCACAGCCTGTCAACGAGAGTGAAGGCTTCCTCATTCACACTCGATACTAAAACAGCGTTTTAAACCCTTTGTTTTGAAGTTCTGAGCACATAAAAATGTCGGGTTGTTGCGTGTATGGATGCCAGAATCGCTTCTCTTCAAGCAGTGGACAGAAACTTTACAGAATTCCGAAGTTCTAAATTTTTCCTGCTCAGGTCTTTCCATGCACATGCCTGAGATGTAACTGCAGCCTTTTCTGTTTTTCCCATCCTAACACAAAGCTCAACTTTGAATAAAATTGCTGCTGCGTGGCTGCAGCATGACCCAAGTCTGAAACATCAAAATGACAGAATTAAACAAATGTATACGCTTTATTTCATGCTTCAAATTAACATTTCATTCTAATTCATCTGTAATTTCCCAATGCATATTAGTATAAACTGTATTTCTCTAAAATTAACACGATTGTACTCTGAGCACGCTAAAAAAAGAAACCTATGCTATACTCACCCTGCCATGCAGGTACAGTTGGCTGTGAAGACGTAGTTCTCTGGTTTGTTTACTATGACCCAAGCCTCGTACGTAGCAGTCTTGTGTCCTTGTCTTTGGCTAGGAAGGACTTCTGCCTTCCAGATGCAAAACTCAGAGTCTATGTCATGATATTTTCCTTTCTGTACGTGGCCACAGACAACATAGTTGTATGCATCTAACGATTTGCAAGCCCGTAGCTTCTCACATGTGTACTTACTGGGCCTCTCCACTAAAAACGTACATATATCGGGCCACTGGATATCTGGCCACGCACCTACATCTTCCACCCATTCCGTAATGCCACAGGGATCCGGGAGTCTGTTGCCATTCGTTAAAGTGAGTTTAATAATATAACATTCAAGATTTGCCGGTGATAACCCCGCAGCGTAGCTTGATAAAGCCTGAAACAACGCCATTCTCTGTTGCCAAGCTGCGCGCGCATTCTCGCTGACGTCATATTGTTTACAAACAGTAAAAGGGTCTACATATGTGGACGTGAGCGACGTGGACTGGTGCTGCCTATTGGAGCTGGCGTAGCTGTGGGCCACCATCTTGGATGGGTCTCCTTTTGCTCCCAGTGCATTTATTTCAACTGAAGAAAGTGTTTCCCAACTAAAAAATACATTTTATTATGCGTTGTTGCAAAGTCAGACAAAATTATAAAGGTAATAAAAAATAAACAAAAATATAAAATCCCAACAGATAGGCTAGAAAAGTCTATAGTAAAAGCACGTGCTCTGTGTTCAATAGTGTTGCAACCGTAGGCTGCAGAAAAAAAACCAGGCATAGTTGTCCTCCCTGCATTGACTCCAGTTGGGTTGGAGTGTGAGGAACCCACCTAATATGGCGGCGGCGCTCAGTGAGGTATCTACACATGCATGTCTATGACTCCATCAGCATGTTTGTTTCCCACCACACCTTCTAAGCCTCCTACTCCCATCCCGCTTTTCAGAACTGAAGAAGCTTCAGGATGAGAGGCGAACTGTCTTCAAGGAAAACAATTAAAGTCCAGCTTGAATCAACAGAAAAACAAATGAAATCTACATTTTCTATGAAGTCTCCAAATCTGCAGCAACTTAACGTTGAGTCGATCATTCAAAAACATTTTCAGTGACCCTGAGCTAGCTCTGAATCTTAAAGTCTTGGACTAATTTCCCACTCTGACATAACTGATAAATAAAGGCACAAACACGTCTTTCTCTCCTCTTCTCTCTTCTGTAAGAAGTCTTTAGTTGGCTTGCTAATGGTGGCTGGGTGGAAGGCCAGCACTGTGTGAGCGCTGCTCTCCCCACTGAGCCAACTCTGATTAATGGAGCAGGTGGTCACCCCACTTTGGACAGAGAGGGGGAAAAAAAAAGGAAAAACAGAGCACAGAGCCAGAAACACGAACAGGACTGAGAGTGAAAGGAACGAGGTTAAGAGAGACGTGCAGAAAGGGAGGAACAAAAGAAAGAAAATGAGTTGAAAAAACAACGTGAATGAGAACAAGTTTCTATGGCGACTGCATTAAACATGCAGGAAACCAGATCATTCATCTTCTTGTTCTGCTGACCCATTTTATTCTCATTTCACTCTACATTTTAATTTAATCCGGTGTCTCTTAATAATAATGTCTACTGACGTGAGGAGAGGATGTCAGGATCTTATTTGGCTCATTTCATTAAATAGATGTTTGCTTTTTACAACCTTTCTTTACCTTGAATCCGTTCTTCCATTCCCAAGTCCTTGTTTTCCTCCCGCAGAGAAGAGGATGTTCTTCCTCATTGCCACTCTCGTCATCATCAATCAGCCAACTGTTGGCCATGAGAGAAGCTTCCTCTCTGGCTTGTCATTCTCTTTCTGCACCCTCTCATTCGCTCACCACCTCCCTCCCTCACTCAGTCATTGCCTTCTTTCACTTTCACACCAACACTTTCTCTGTCGTTTGTCATCTTCTTTGTCGTCTTCTTCAGGAGAGTTTTCTGCCTTTCCTCTACAACACTCCACACGCTGCTTCCTTCCCCCAGTCCGTGGTTAATGCACTTTTACTAGATGTCTGGCTTGGTCAGTGTTGCATTCTTGGATGAAATCTGCTTTGTGTCCAGTAAGACAGATAGCAACAGTGTGTTTACATAGATTATGGTGTATGAAATATTGCAGTGTGTTGCCACAGGCCCTAAATAAGAAGGAAATAAATACAAAAGTAAAGCCCAGGAGGTTTTGGAAAGTAAAGTAACAGAATGCAGCATGTAGAAGTGGGAAGGTTCATAATTGTTGCAGCGTAGAGATCAAACTCAATAAGGGATTGTAATAATGTTAACTTTTCTACCAAACACTAGTGGGGATGGGATGATTTATAAACTGCACAGAAATAAGCTTACAGCTCACTTCTCTCTGTGTTCACCCGTCTTCTGTATGTCTGTCACCACTGAGCCACAGCTTGGCCGTTTCTCCTTAACCCTGTCGCTGTTTTTTGTCATTTTATGTAAATAAATGTCTATGAAGAGAGGCTGGAAATGTGGCCGCTCACTAATCAGTCTAAAAGATTACACTAAGACCTCGAACCTTTCACACATCAGTCACCTCTGCCACACATTAGCTGTTGTAAGCATTTAAATTGTTGCTCCAGGAAATAAGGGAGACACAATAATGAGCTTTTTCTGTTTGTACTAGACTGAAGAGAGATTCTGAGCTAAAGGGCAACAAGCAGCAAAGAAATAGGGGGAATGCATGGGAGGAGGCAGTTTCCCAGTCTTTAGCATTCAGGTGCTGATTCAGACTGGGGTGCAAGTGCAGAATGATAAACGGTTTTCAAACAGAAACTTGGTCTGGCTTTGTTTACCAGACTCTGGAAAGATTCAGATTTGTGATCCAGCAGAGTTTAGGAGCTAAAGCTGCAAAACTGTCTGTTTTGAACAATACTCTAAATGTGTTCTGTGTGTGTGTGTGTGTGTGTGTGTGTGTGTGTGTGTGTGTGTGTGTGTGTGTGTGTGTGTGTGTGTGTGTGTGTGTGTGTGTGTGTGTGTGTGTGTGTGTGTGTGTGCGTGTGTGTGTGTGTGTTTGCACATTGCATGTTTTTAAATGTATGTCCATTGTGTTGCTTGCAAACACTGAATTTGAATACAATATATAGATGTTTGTATTTAATCTTTTGTTGCTCTGCTTTCATAACATAATTTCTTTAAGTTTTTCAGATCTGGAGTACGGTAATCTTACTAATGATCAATAATGCAAAGTAATTAAAAAACAGTAAATTAAACTCAGACTTGCAGATGTCACAAACTTTTTGAGTAACAGTTCTGTCGAGGAGGCAAATAAGAGTAGAAAGAAAGTGATGCTGTCTGTGGGTCATTTTAACAAGTATAAGGCAAGCTTAATGTTTAAAGGCACACTTGGCAATTTTGGCTCGCTTTTAGCACCCCCTAGTGTTCGTTTACTAGAACCAAAAGCAAATCTCATCAATGTTCGTTTGTCTTTTTAACACCTTAATCCAACAGCTGAAATGTCTCCTCAGTCTACATTAGTATCTACAGGAGTGGTTCATCACTAAATTAAAAGTGTGGCTGACTAAAAAACATATTTTAAATTATTGACTATAATCAGTCATTCTGAGTGTTTCATGCATTCTGGCCAATATAAAATTCTCCTACACATATCTCCTGCATTAGCTTCCGGTAGAAAATAGATGATGAAATGCTAGGATTTGAAAATCCTCACATATCTACATCACACAATGAATTAGCATTCATGGACTCACCGATCTTGACTCACAACTGGGAAGGCTGTTGTTGTTGTGTTGTGATTTTCATCTCGAGAGGCGCTATATAAGCTATTTTTTCTTCTTTTAACATTTAGGAATCAGCAGCGGACATCTCAGCTAGTTTAAGCTAACCGTTAGCATTAATAACTTCTCTCCACGACAGAAGTCTTCAAGGTTCGTGTTATTTGTGGAGATTAAACATCCATGTTGCAAGTCAAGTGGTAGAGTCACGTTGTTGTTATCTAGTCTGGAGCGAGACGTCCAAATATCAGGAAATGAGACTCCAAATTTTGTTGTCTGAAGCTCAGTTGTGATGTTGCAGACTTGACCAGACAAGGGTTTGTAGGATTTGTGTTGTAGGATTTGTACTGCCTGCGAGGCATTCATTCCTTCTAGAGACATTCGATTAAACAAATAATCCACTCCTTTAAACAAATGAGCTGTGTTCATGATCTAAATCATGCAGGAAACGTGCTGGAACCAGACTGTAGCAACAGGCGTGTCAACTCAAATTTTCTCCAACAGGTGGCGGCCCACCACTCTAAAGTTGTTCTAAAGTGTGATATTCTGGCCAGAGATGGCATTGGGGTTCTGAGTGACTTCTCAATAACCCCGTAAAGGGTCATTTTAACGCATATTGGCTCAAGAAAATGATTACAAATAACGAAAAAGTTGCAAAAATCCCTTTACATATTTTTCTTTTGCTCCTCCCAATCATCAAATTATAACAACAAAAACACATTTTACACTAATTTGTTAATTATTCAAATTCATGTCTTGTTTTATTATAAATGCATGTTTATAATAGTTTCTCAATTCAGTTATCAAGTTGAAACTGCAACAAAAGTCCTATTTGATTCAAACTGGAACAAAATTCTGAACCGTAAAATATTTGAACTATTAAATAAACATCTAATGAGTTTAATGCCTTTGTGCAAAGTTTGGGAAGCGTGAAGGATACATTTATAACAGAAAAACTAGAATTATGAGGATTTTATGATATTTAATTAACATATTGTTAAAGAAAGAAAGTGTTTCGGTTTGTTTCCTCTTCTATTATCTCGCCTGTCCTTCCTCTCGTATTTACCGCATCTTGTTCTGTAGTCATCTAAATTACACCCACAGCTTAGATTAGAGCGTAATTACACACCTGGGTCTGATAAACTTGATTCATAAGGGACTCCGGTGATGCTGCCTCACCTCTGGGGGCCTTAACACCAAATCTCATCACTGCTCGTGCAGCGGTCGCACTATTAGTGTCTTGTCTATCTACATGATTAGCCGTGGGTGAACTGGCTTGTCTGTGATTTGTGGCAGAGTAATTTGGCTGTGTTGTGTCTCAGCTGACCCCAGGGCAACAGTCACTAGTCAGTCATTAACCGCTGAGCCACACATCACTTGTGACAGGTTAATAACTACCGGTTAGGATAGGTTAGCAGCAGGGATGGGATTGTGCCACGTAATGCCCAATCCCTTTTTGTGTTAGTGGTTGTTCTGCGTTGGGTGATTTATCTGAACCCACCTTTTCACATGCTCTGAGAAAGTGTGGTACTGGAAAACACAGATTTATTGTGAACGTGGACTCTTTGATTTATACAGACAGGAAACAGCAGCTAAAAGGGTTTCTGTTGTCTCTGCAGATCCTCCCATTCTGGACCCAGTCTTTCAGGATGTGCGCACCAGGAGCACACTAGAGGTGATTCTAAGATGTACCGTCATGAGGTCCAGTCCTCCTCTCACGACTGATGCCCGCTGGTTCCGTAACGGCAAATTCATCCAAATGTCAATGCCAGACCTGAAAGAGCACACGTTAAAACTGGGACCAACCAGCAATGGAACTTATGAGTGCCGAGTCAGCAACAGCGCAGGGACATCAACATGCAGATTTAATGTCTCTGGTGTGTAAAATGAAATTAATCCCAAAATGTTTAGGCCTTTTTTCCCTGTGTCAATACTTTCACATCCACCTTGGCTTGTTTTGTTCTGAACGATGTTGCTTTTCTTACAGCAAAACCCTACAATGCAGAATTTTACTTTGACACACCTAACCCTGTGCGAATCCTGAAGGGAAACAATTACTCCTACAACCTGCAGTGGACACAGAGAGAACCACAGGCGACAGACAAAATCATAGGCTACTGGTTAAGTGTCCAAAAGGTAAAGAACCTTCTCTTAAATATCTAAAACTGAGCAAAAAGCAGACTCCATAACCTGATGTGGAGTCACATAAAAATATGTGTAGGCATTGGTTTTGGATTGGTAGCTGGAGAAGAATCTCTGAAGGCTGAGGAAGACTGGAATAAAGAGATGATTTACATGGATATTTGGCTGTTCTGGTTTTAAATGGCTCATACACTCATGGTTGAAATAAATGTGCTGTAGTTTGTGTGGATAAATGCACTGTGAGTCGATTTTTGTGGGGGAAAAAGCTTTGGCGCTCCTGTTTCAGGGGGTAGAAGTTAGTCAGTTACTCAATAAAATGCATGATATGCTGATGTATTACTTCTGATTGGCTAACAGCAACACGACTCTTCTGCTGCCTCTATTTACTTTGTTTTCTTGGGTAAAAAATGTAACATTGATGTGTTATTGCCACCAAAAATACAAGCCAGAAATGTGGTCTGCATTGTTGTCAGAGCTACTAATGGTTAGCCTCTACTAGTAAGAACCTTGTAACATAGAATACTGGCTTTTTCTGACCTGAAAGTTTCCCCATCTATTTTCTGACTGTGGCCAACGCAGGCAATAGGGAGCCTAAGTCACGGCCATCTACTTCCGGCTCATGGCTCCCCAAAAGAAGAAAAAAATGAATGCAAGTCAGTGGGGCTAAAAATGCTATTTTCTAATTCCACTTGTTATGATCCATGGATTTCACATATGATGTCTGTGAATTTTAAAGACACATTTTGAAACCAAGAACGCGCTTATTTTCAGAAAAGGGGAAATGTTATTTTAGGTTTTGTGTGAAAATAAGTCCAGGACTACAAATGCGCTTCACAAAAGTGACGTCATTGAACCAGACATGGAGAAAACTGAGGAAATATGGCTGTAAGCTCAGCAAACTTCCCACAGGAGGAAAGAACCACCATAAATCTGGCTATGTGGTAAGTAGCAGCTACATTAGGGGAGAGGAGATCATGTGGCGACATGCCGATTTCTGGTGTGTAGTCATGCTAATTACGAACTTTTACTAGCTGATAAATCTCAAAAGTACATGACTGGCATGGTTGAAACACCCATCATTAGTTTTCATTTAAACTGCAGTACAACATATGTGTGATCCAGGGCGTAAGGCAAAGCGGATTAGAAAATAGCTCTTTTAGCCTCGTTGACTTGCTTTCTTTTTTTTTTCGTTCTTCCGGGGACCCATGAGCCGACCGGAAAGGGAGGAGACCTAGGCTCCCTTTAGGGATCTGAGACTAATTTCACATTCAGTAGCTGATCTTCTTTCCAAAAGAACAAGTAGTACATTATTTCTCAGTGAACCTCACCTTTAAAAAAATCTTACATCAACAAAGAGTGTTGCACATAAGACAAAACACCTGTCACACGCCTTAGTTTGTAAAAATCACACTGAGTGGGAATAACCTTTTATGCACGCAGCCGCACACGTGCACACAGTCTTAATGTAATGAATTCTGCATGCTATGTAAACACGAGGCTTTAAGAGCTTTGAAAGTGTCAAATAGTCAATATACACGTGCCCTGAATGAGCAGTCTTCTGCTTTCTTCATCTCCTCGCTGTTCTTTTTGAGCCTGGTGTGTAAAATGATTGTGTCTTGAACAAAACAAATTCAGAACTGAACATTTTGGAGAAATTTGAGAAAAAATACTCTTTTTGTTTGCTCATACTTGATCTCCGTCAGAATAATAGATCCACTTTTAGTCGACAAGCAGCAAAGGATTTTATCAGGTTTTCTAGAGCTTTTCAGATATTTTTTTATTGCAAACAATCTTTTCTGTAGAAATCTAAGTTTCAGACAATAACACTCCATTTCAAATATTCTAGGAACTTTAAGATGAGGTCTCTCCTGCGGGTAACTATGTATTTTGCCATTTAAAAATAGATTTTCCAGTTATTTGGCTTTAATTTCACAACTTTATGAGGAGAATTAAATTAACCTAAAAGTCACAAACTGGACAATAAACAGGCATGGCTTTGCAACTTTTTTATGTTTTGAAATAATTTTCTTGAGCCAGTATGTGCTAAAATTACCCTTTACAAGGTTAATCTAAGGCCACCCAGCCCTCATCACCCCCTGTGTCCAGAATATTCCGCTTGCAACTTCATCCTCGCGGGCCACTCTGTTGGGACTTGGAAAAAAATTGAGCTGACATACCTGGCGCTGCAGACTGGTTCCAGCACTCTTACTGCACGTTTTAGATCATGAACACAGCTGCTTTGTTTAATTTAGTGATGAATCACTCCTGTAGATACTAAGGAAGGCTGAGGAGCACGTCGGGCCTCTCTGCGTCCCGCACCTCCCTTCCCCCCGTAACCCCGGTCCCGCCGGCCGTCCACAGCCCAGTCACCACGACCCCCCCTGTCTAGGGTGGGGGTCGCTATATAGGTGTGGGCAGTTTCGGACCGACGGGGCTCACAGGGTGACGGAGGTTCAGCGAGCTACAGGCGCACGGAGTTGGGTCGGCTTGGCGTGCCTCCGGCGCTTTCGGACGACCGCGCTGTTGTGTCCCGCATCCCAGCCTCCCCACGGGGGGCGAGCAGGTCGAGGGCGTACGGGGCCCGGCGGAGGCCCGGCGGCACCCTGCCGCCTTGGAGCCTCGGGAGGGCGGGTGGTGATAGGTGGAGGGGCGGAGTGCAGCGACGGGTACCAGGTCCTCACCGACGCGCAGAGTCGCCTCGGGAGAGAGGGGAGGCTGTGACACCTCCTGGCCCTCTGCCGGACGCGCACCGTCGCCGGTGGGGTTGGCCCACCGCTCCGACGCCCCTCCACCAGCCCGTCCTCCCAGGGCTTGGAGCGTTTTTTAGCCACCAGACTTGGGACAAAACCGGTAATGATCCTTCCGCAGGTTCACCTACGGAAACCTTGTTACGACTTTTACTTCCTCTAGATAGTCAAGTTTGATTGTCTTCTCGGCGCCCCGCCAGGGCCGTGGCCGACCCCGGCGGGGCCGATCCGAGGACCTCACTAAACCATCCAATCGGTAGTAGCGACGGGCGGTGTGTACAAAGGGCAGGGACTTAATCAACGCGAGCTTATGACCCGCGCTTACTGGGAATTCCTCGTTGATGGGAAATAATTGCAATCCCTATCACGAGTGGGGCTCAGCGGGTTACCCACGCCTCTCGGCGAAGGGCAGACACACGAACGCACAGATACAGTAGGTTTTGCTTTTGGTTCTACATCAAACACTAGGGGGTGCTAAAAGCAAGCCAAATCTGCCTAGTTCCCCTTTAAAGCCAACTAAACACATACATTGTCTCATTTTATTGACTTTAGTGTTCACAGACAGAACCCCATGACCACCTTCTTGTTTTGTCACATGTTATGGATTACAGGGATTTAAGCACAAGACAGGAAGAGTAATAATGAATCACGCACTGCTGGCTGAGGTGTGTGTGTGTGTGTGTGTGTGTGTGTGTGTGTGTGTGTGTGTGTGTGTGTGTGCTTTCTGTGAAACAGAAGGAAAGAGGTGTGCCAGCAGCTTCCCTGCTGATGAATAACTAATCCCTTTCCTACTCTATGATATGGCTACTTACCTTATTAAGTTAAAGTCTTTAGGGAGACATAAAACGAACAGTTTTTGGTGATTTCCTTAAGCTCTCTGTAAGTTTTCACTCATTTGTCCCCTCCTCTTCCTCCTCTTCTCTCCTTTTTATTTCCTCCTAGCCTCCTATCCCCCCCCTCTAATACCTTTTACCACCTTCTTGCTTTAACGTGATAATTTAATGACATTCGGTTTTATATAGTAAAAAAAATAGCCAAATATTTAAAAATGTAATTAAGAAAAGCATCTGACAGGAAGCGGCACATTTTACTTTTTATTTTAAGGTTTTTTGTCAATAATTGTGTGACCAATTCAATGCAACCAGATGAAGGCAGCACAGGAAATAAGGATAGCAGAGGAAATATTTCGGTGAAAAGGAGATTAATTCAATGCAAATGAAAGAAAAACATTAAATCTCACTTGTCCTCTCGACTGTTAGAGGACATTCAGACATAATTCCATCTCATTTTCACAACTCATTTATTTCTGCAACTTTTCTACAGTTCATCCTTTTAACGCCCCGACACTCCGTTTTTTTAGCACTTGTGAAATGATGTGGAGGTCCCAGGGGAGGCGTGCAAACACTGATGGGAATACAAGAAGCCTCAGATCAGAGCTACTGCTCTTTGGCGTACGTCTAAACACAACATGTCTCCATTTCCTTTTACATGCACTTCAATCACGTGCCAGTAGGAGTCGTACTCATGGTTGCTTGTGTGCATTTACTTACTTCAGGCCTGTATGTGAATAGTATAGGAATGTATTTTCCTATAATCAGAGTTTGCGTAGCTGGCTGAGTGTGCCAGTCTGGTTGGTAAGCATCCTGACTCACCAGCATGCCGGGACGTCTCCATTTACACATCTTAATTCAGTCTAGACCTTGCTATGGGGTGGGGGTTCTCTGGAATTAAACGTGTCGACAGAGACACCTTTGCTGCCATCTTGCTGTCCTTAAAATCCTTCATCGTAACACGACCTCTGTCCTCAGCGGTTTAGGAAATGACTGCTTTCATTCACTGGATAAATTAAAATGGGATTTGTTTTATTTGTTCCTTTTTTGTAACAAAAGGTGAACGACTCAACCATTCATTGCTAATTACACGCAGCTTATTTGATACTGTCATTAAAATCTGACATTGTCCTTTTCCAGCCGTGGATTTATTTCATTTATTTGGTGCTGATCATGTCAGTGCCGCTTAAATTAAACCGTTGCTGCTTTTACGTATTATTTTGATGCAGAAAGCTAAGAAGATCAGAGCTGCTAACAATAAGGTACAAATCTGGACAACTGCAGACAAATGAATAATCAGGAACAAGCAGAACAAGTTCTACTATAGGACTAGCCAAGCCATTTATGGTTATATCTACAATAAATACTTTTGATTTTCTTTTTTGCTCATATCTGAGATACGTAGATAAATTAGACA